AGTTTACAAACCAGTGTCTCTGAAAAACAGACCATATTTATGTATTTAAGCACAATTTGGCAAAAGCAGGAAAATCCCACATTAGCCACATAATTAAAATTCTTAATCCCTTATATAATTTAAGGTATTAGGTGAAAAATGAGGTTTGACCCTGCTTTTTCCATCTTATAACGGTACTTAGAAATGTTGCTCGGGTTTGGTGGAGTGAAGATGTGTACCCCATATGACTTTCTATGATGATTAAAAAGGAAAAAATATGAAAAGCTACCTTAAAAATGTACTGCAGGCATAGTTTTATTCTTTAAAAGAAATTATTTATTCAATATCCTTTTAGTTCCACTGGATTCAGGTCTTAACACAATTGACAATATTGGAGGCTAATTAAGTTGCAGTCAGGGGCTATTTTAACTTGTCTTAATGTCTCTGATTACATGGAACATATTTGTAGAGTAAAGCGTATTTCTGATTTAAAGGGTGTAATGGAACAAATAGATGTTATATAGTATTCCTCCTCAAGGTAAACTGGAATGGATAATTTAATTTCCAAGGCGACAAATTATCTTATCATGAGCGAACAGGCAATTTCTTCCCTGCAATAAACTAAGTAGGTACAGACAGCTCTAACCAGATGAAATCATTATCCTTTTTAAAGCAGAAGCATTGAATAGAAGTAATTTTCTCAGCCTTAGTTTGAGAATAGAAAGTAGCTCTTGTAAACACTGTACAATGTGGTCTTAGGTAAGAGCAACAAGTTTAACCCTTTCAGTGAGGAATGAGAAACAGATATTATAAAGATAATGAAATTTAAATAAAAAGAAGCAATTGCATGCATATGTATAGAAAAATTAAAAATTCAGTGGAAGGTAGAAATAGTTAAGAAAACAAAGGTGGTATATCCATCATGTATTTTGAAAGTTCACAGAGATCAGAGTAATTTGTATGATTCTTAGAGGAAAAGAACAAAACTGAATTTTACAGAATAGAATAGCAATATATTACTAGGTTGTGTATTTCGGTGTGAAGTGTAAAGGTGCAATTAGGTGTGTACCAGTTCACTCTCCTCTGGTGCTTTGCAGTTCATTCCATGTTACAGTAATAATGTGTGTGCACACGTGGACACACATGCACAGGTTCATAAGCTGCTCTGGTCTCCTTGCTACTTGGAACAAAAAAATGACACTTTCATAAGTATGTCAGTTGACTTGGGCCAAAATTAAAAGTGAAAGTAAGTTTTCCCACATTTTGAAAAAATGACCATTTTAACACAGTTTTTACACAATTTGTGTTATTTGCCTTTTCAGGGCAAATAACTCAAATTTCATGCCCTTTGTACATGCTTTGTCACTTTTTTTTTTTTTTCCCCAAAAGTGATTCCTAGGTAGAAATTTAATTTTTAAGAGGTCAGGTCAATGTCTACCTTGTCGGTAGTAATGGTATCTTCTGGAATTTTGGGAAACAGAGCTGAAGATGAGGATGATTTCACCAGGGGCTTTTTCCTTCACTTGTACAAAGAAATGGGAAATACTTCCTTGTCTTTAGAGGAATGAAGAATATGTGAAAAATATGAAGAAGAATATGTTTTTTGGAACAAATTCTTGACTATCTTGCCAATATTATTTCTTTAGGTGTTGAAATCATTGCTATATATTGACTTCCATGGTCTTTACTATCTCACTGCTAGACACAGAGACAAGAAATTAGCAGGGTTTCTATCCCATGCTGCCAGCATTAGGGGCCCAGATGTGCTGTTTTAGACATGAAACTTACCTAAGTGCTTTCTGGGTGAGATTTTTCACCTAGCTTAAATTTTTTCCTAGTAGTAGAAGAAACTACTTCCTGCTAATGTTGTGTTTTCCCTCTCTTCCCAAAAACAAATGAGGAATCAATGGAACAAGTGTCCTGATTCCCTCCTTGGCTTGCTACTGAGAGACGAGGCATCATCACCATATTTATGTGAAGTATTAATTCTAAACAGTATAAACTCCTCAACAAATCATGCTTATCATCTTAAAGTGATCTTTCTACTTAAGAATGTTTTAATTTCTTTTGATGTTATCAGAACATACTTCCAGAACACCTGGAATTTTCAGATGCATTTAGTTGTTTATATATCTGTCACCTATTTGGGTAAAACTGTTAAAAGAAAGTAAAAATAGTGTTCTTGGTATTGCAGGGCATTTGCCTTAATGTACATATTGTAGCACAAATAACATTGTAATATGCAAACAATAGATATGTGTGATCTAATTTTTCTAATTAAAAAGGACACTTCTCTATTTTTTTTTTCTTGCACTATATTTACAGGGTGTAAATAAGATCAAAATAAGAAACATTAATGTGAAACCCAGGAATCTGTTCTTACATGGCCAGTGAATTATGTTGATAAACCTTGATCACATTGGTCATGTTGAAGGCCATGGGTGATGGTACTGCATTGGAAAGAAGGAGGTTTCGTAAAAGTAGTATACATACAGAAACCATCCCCCAAAGACTTGAAGCTGATAGTTCGATTCAGAGTTACATACATGGGCACTCCAGCTAACATGGCCAAGCAGTTTGAAATTATACTTTTTGTACTGTACCATCTCTGGGTTGTAGCAACCTCTATAAACCTTTGTGCACTTTGAACTGAGTTATGAACAGTTGTTGACTTCATGTTGCCGGCTCTGAAAGGTTCTCTGGGTTTATATGATTGATGTAGCAATGTTGGTTTTTTTTTTCTTCTGAAAGCAATTTCAGATACCTTAGAGATGAAAGACTTCTATATAAAGCCTCATTTTGTAGTCTGTTTCTTCCTCCTAACTCAAGCCATTTCCCATAAGTAACAGATCTTGTCATTCCCAACCATAAAATACTCTAAATTTCAGGAATAAATAAAAGAATTTATATTTAATTAGAGAGACCACTATGTTCAGAGATCTCATGTACGTTGTTAACACATTCGCTGAAGGAAATAAAGAGATTGTTCTCTTGATAAATTAAATTTGACTTTTGTAGCAAGTTTTTTTGACTGAAAATGCCAGTGTTCTCGCCCTCCATTTTTTTCTCAGATTCAAAGTGAAAGGTAACCCATTTGTTACAAAGTTTCCTAAAGATGTGTTTTTTTTAAAAAAGCTAAAGATCTTTACATTAGGGTTAGGGTTTTACTGTGACAAGTGAGAAATATATGCTAGTATAGTTCTAGATTGGGAAAATCTAGATTTTCGGATTGGGAAAAGGTGGTGAACACCACCAAAATTACATTGGCACCCACCACTTCTGGAAAAATTCAGGTCCAGCAGTGTCTTTGCTTAGGGCTCTGTTGCTTTCTGTCCTCAGAACTCTAATGCATCCTTGATTTAGGATTTGGTGCATTAGGTTTGTAGGGCAGATATTTTCATAAAGCACACAGAGCTCTTTACAGCTTTTGTTACCTTTTCTTTCCACAATGAAAAATTCATTTCTCTCGTAGGTACATGGTGACATTATTCTGGAAAGATGACATACTGGTTTTGCATAGTGATTTACATAAAAATGAAAAAAAGGTGCAGTGTAATGCCAAAATGAGGGTAAGTTTTTTTTCTATGTGTCTCTGAGGAGAAAACAGTGGCATTGACTGATGAAATACTGTGAGCATTCCACACAATTCCTTTTTTTAATCCTTTTACTTTAAAACATGAAAAATTAAATTATCAGAATCAGCAGTATCTGCACGGTGCAAATACACACTGATGAATTGACACTGCTAATCAAAAAACGTAAAGTTTCTTCTATGCAAGTGAAATACCACATCATCTTTTAACCATAATAATGGCCCAAAATACATGTTTATTGAAATTCTGGTAATGTATTGTTCTAATTTGGATTGGGGAGACTACACTTAACCACTAATACAACAATAAACACTGTGGAGCTTTGGACCAACAGAAATAAAGACCGATATTGATCACTACTGCTGACTATTTTCATGGTAGGTCTTCATTTAAGTAATTTATAAATTATCTACATTTAATCATTTTGGCTGGAAACAAACATGCTGAAAAACAAATGAGATCACTCAGTCAAACCAGCAAGTTAGGAAATTTTACCTTGCAAAAAATGCAGTTTGCAGGTTATAAAAGTACTCAAGGTCACTTTTAAAAAATTTTACGGTGATTACAAGGCAAAAAAGAAAAAATTCTTTTCAAACATCAAAGTGGCTGACTTTTTGAAATGCTTGTTTGACTATTTGTTTTGAATCATTTTAAGGACTGAAAAAGACAGTCTTTAAAAATATTGTGAATGCATTTTTATGAGTTAAATCAGCTTATTTTTATTTTGGACGTGGAACAATCTGAGGAGGTAGGGGAAAAAAGGGTTGACCTGAAAAGGAGGGGTTTTTAACCTTAATAAGAAACAGCAGTCATTTGTCTTACAATGAAGTGTATTTGCCTTAAAAAAATTGAATTATTTTGTTGTTACTGTATTATCAAAGAAAGTTGGGTAAAGGTGCTATCCTTTCATCTGTCACAGATTCCTTGGGAAATGCTGAACCAGACACAGATACAAAGGCTTTTTCCCTGCACTGGAGACCTGATACCTGTGTGGGAGGATGGCTGAGCCTTCACTACTGCAATTGCTGTCCAGGAGAACTGTATTTATGACCTCTGGATATAAAATGATTCCACATGCTGCAAGAAATTATCCTATTTCACTTATTTTGGGCACACATATTTAGCATCAGCATTTTTATTTTAGTGTTTTTTCCCAGTAGTTTCTTGTTTTTAAAGTGGTTGCAGTGTTAAGAGCTGTGTCAGTGTTGGTGGGTATCATCCACAATGCAACTTCAGCAAGCTCCTGAGCTCTCTGATGCCAGGTCCAGCCCAGCTCCCAAAGCCTGGCTTCCTGCTAGGTAGGCTGTCACCAAAATGAGCCAGCTCTGGGCTCTCCCTGCCTGCACTTCAGGTTGCTTACAAACAAGCAAACAAACAAACAAATAAATCCCTTCATGTCACCCCTGCGTAGGTAAGAAATCTTCTGGAGCTGGTGGCTGCTTCTCCAAGCTCTTCAAGAAGACGAGTAAGTGCTGTTGAAGCCTCCACAGGGTCTGAGTATGATGCATAGCCCAGTTCCTCTGAAACTGAGGCATTATGTGGATACTTTTAAAGGATTGCATTATCACTTTCTCTATTTCTTTCCTCTCAACACTTGCCTTGACCATCTTTTGAGCACTTTTTTTTCCAGATACACGAACCTCCTATTGGACAGGAATTGCCCCATACCATTAATAAATGTTGTTGGAAGAACAGCACACGTTAATGTTGATGAAGTAGTCAAATGCTACAGAATAAAGAATTCATCGTCCTTGTTTCTGTAGTAGTTAAGGATATGAAAAACAATACTGAATAGAAAAAATAAAAGAAAATGGAAGGGCTTCTCCAGGTGTGCACCATCCATCCTGTGTGCTGAAGGAGAGGTTTCCCTTAGGAGAATGTGAGTAAAGCCCAAAACTGAAATCCATATGCATGTGTTAGTAGAGATGGGAATATGTTTATGTGCAGTTTTAATTCTGATGTTTCCTATCTCATAGCACATAGATTTTTTTCTCAACAGTGAAAAGTTCGTTTAATGTTTTTGCATCTGTAAGTGTGTTTAGAATAACTTGCTAATGTGGGACAGGGGGCTGCTGGGAGAGACAGGCTGTGCCCCTGTAATAGGTATGCAGAGAATCTAATCTGGATAATTATGTGTCCACATAATTTAAGGTTAATAATTATCATTTACCCAGTGAGGTTTCAATGAATTTTTAACGAAGGTCATTGATGCTCAGTTTATCAAGCGGATTAGTTGTGTTCCCACCAAAAGGGTGACGATCATAAGTAGTTCTAACACTGATTACCAGGACCTCAGGGCTTCATTTGCTTGCTTTACTTGATATGTATCCTGTGAACAGTGCAAATGGAACTTCATTTTCAGTGTCTGTGTATCTGTGAATTTTCTGGCACCATACATCTTGGTGGTCTTTATTAATTTATATAATTCCACTAGTGAAGTTTCACCAAGAGCAACTGAAAGGTTCTAATTATTTTGCACCAGATTTTTATCATATTCTGTGCTCATGTAATTACCTCAGATTTACTCCTCTGTAACTGAGATCATAATTTGACCCAATAAGTTAATGACTATAAAGGAATATGAAAAATAATTAAACCATTTAATGAATATTTTTAAATAGAGTCACCTACTTACTCATACACTTAGGCAAAAGAGTGTCTGATTTGTTTGATACAGGTGAGTACTGAATGTCCATGGGCAAAAGTCAGCTTTAGTATCCCTACCTGCTGTCAGAGAGAATTTTTCATATGGAAATAAAATGTGGAAGAGAGGAATAAGCAGATTCTTGTTGGCAATAATGAAATCAAAATTGAAACTGGAATAGAAATTTGGCAGCTGGAATTTATTTCAAGTGAAATAAAGCTGCCAGATCTCACCAGTTTCACAAGTGACAGCAATGGTAAAGAGTAGGCAAGATTACCCTGGGGGATAAAGGGACATTAGACACACATACACTCTGTGATGTACAGGTGCTGAAATACCAGCTATCCATTCCAGGTGTTAAAAATGATCCAGTTCTGGTAGGTAATCATAACATCAGTGACAGCAATGCAGTTCACAGGTAAAATTCTGTAACCTGCCTGGTACAGCAGAAGACAAAAGCCTTGGAGCAGTAAACTACCAATTTCTTCCACCTTCACAGAGGTGAAATAAGTTTCAAATTCTGGTCCCTGATCTTTGGATAATTTCCTTTATTTTTTCATTTATTTTATTTTTTTTAAATTTTTTGAATGTAAAAGATAAAACTAACTTGGAAAGGAAGAAAGCGGAATTTCAGAATTTTCCTTTCTATCCAAAAAACCCAATGTTACCTGTAGTTTTGCCTCTTTTTTGTTCTTCTCCTTGTCCACAAGGAATACTGCACTCAAGGGAAGAGAACCTCTGATTTTAGCCCAAGTAGACCACTTACTTGTATCTCCTACTAAGCTGGGAAAAAATAGTTTAGAGGTGGTCTTGGGGGGGGTGTTTGTGTACAGGTGTGTCACATCTACTGCTCTTTTTTTAGGGAATTAAACATCTACCTCTTGAGGATGTTTGTGGGGCTTTGTTCCAAGAAAGCATAAGTTCATCATGTGTGAAGATACTGAAATTGTGGTGGGTATGATTACATGCTTTATATAAAACTAACTTATCACAATCCTGATAAATAAGATAATAGTTACGAATGTTGAACAAAATAAAGAGGTAGCTACTCAGTTTCAAAACCTATATATTGAAGTATATTTATTAAAGAATAAGGTATTGGGTCACAAATTTGGTCAGCTCCAACCATATAATTCTGCTTTTGATGTCAGGGTGTTGTTTCAATTCTGTTGTGTCTTGTCTGTGTCACATAGAAAGTCTTTTTCTGAGCTGAGACCTGAAACTGGGATTTTTATTGCTTCCAACACAGGCCTTCTCCAAAGACTGTGGATTCCTCCAAAACAAAGATTGTTGCCCTTCTGCTCTCATGTGCCTCCTGATGCCCTAGAGAAAACAGAATTTTTGTATTTTCTTCTACTTATTCGCTATTCATAATTTGTCTGTGTGTGTGTGTGTGTGTGTGTGTGTGTGTGTGTTGTGATGTTTTGAATTACATTTGGTATGAGTTCAGAGGTTCGTAGTCCTTAGCAGTAAACACAATATAGTTTCCTAGAAAAGTTCCTGCTGGTTTTTTTGCTTCCTTTTGCCCTATAGCCACGTGCTTTATGTTCTGGCTCAAGAAGAATTGTTGCTTGAGATAGCTCAATGAATTAAATTTTTTTTTTTTTTTTTCTTAAACACAAATATCCTTTAGAATCACAGAATCACATTTGTGGTGTATTGTATTGTTCCTAGAAGACTGGATTACAAATCTACAAGTATCACTAGCCAGGTAACAGAAGTGTTTGGAAAATGCCCAACAACTTAAAATCCCCCAGTTTAATAGATTGCAAATTAGAGAAAAGAATACATTGATCAATCTTTGCAAAGATTGGTGCTGAATCTCTGCTGCTTTATTACTCCCACAGAATTATTTCACAAGACATCAGTCAGGGTGATCTATTCTTTGAAACAACAGGGCTCATCCCTTAGCCTTAACAATTAAACAAAATCAAAAAGGGAGTCTGAGGTGGAACACCAAGGGCTGTTTCCTTCAGTTTTCTTCTCTCATTCTTCTTCTGCTGTGTGAGACTCTGTGATTAAATTGCAGGCTTGGGAGTCTGACAATTTGTGCTGCATTCACATTTCTGCCACAAAGTTGGCATTGCAGGATGTATGGCTTAGCTCATGGACATTTTTTCTTATAAATATGTGAACATTACAATGTTTGCAATTGCATATCTAAATTATGCACATAGACATAACAGTGACCATACACGTAAATGAGATATTTGCAGATGCAAATAGCTACTTATGCACATAACAGGCCAACAGAAACACACAGTTGTTGTAATTATACTCATAAAATATATGAATGAATGAACAGGCACGTTATGAAAATCAGACTGCTGGCCAAAAAGATACTATTAATATTATTATCCATCATGAGGCATGGATTATTACTATTTGTAATGAGCTTTAACATTATTAAATGGGAGGTGCTAAAGATCAGCAATTTTTTATCTGTGCCTGGAGAGTTAATTTATTTCATAGATTTCTCTGTTTGGATGATCTTGATAATCTACTAGTTTTTGCATTGTTCACACTTTCAGAATTTTGTATCACAGGGCTGGAGAACCTGGGTATATGTGCATTGTTATCCTACAGTCCTCAAAAGGGAAAGCAAGAGTGTGGAAATAAAATGCAGTTTCTCTTTCAGTGTTTTTAAAACCTTCCCTGAGCCATGCTGTGCTCCAGCAGGCAGGATGTGCCCAGATGTGAAGGATATTTGTTTGTTTTGTACCTTCACAACCATCCTTCAGGTGCTTTGTGTACAGCCTAGTGGGCATGATAAAGTAGCAACAGGGGAGCAAGGAAAGCCAAAAGCAGGATGTCAGAAAGAGCTCTTTAAAGTCAATGTTCAGGTGGCTGAAAAATTGAACATCCTCTTTGGAGTTTGTCTTTCAGGAGAGAACCCAAACCAAAGCACTCTGCCTAGGAAACCATGAAGTGCTGCCAAATACTGCATCTAACTAATTGCACAAGGGAGGCCTGTCCACCCGAAGAGAGTGTCAGATCAGGGGATTTAAACCATCTCTGTGCCCTGCTGTGTATTCTAAACAAGTACAATTCATGAGGCAGAACTTCCAGAATATCATTCCTCTCTCAGCCCATGGGCTGCTGTGTCCTACCAGAGAGTGATGGAGGATCGGTTATGGCTCTCTCAGCTTCCATCGGGCCCATTTCTTTCAACAGTTGCAATGGAAAGATAAATATCTCTTTTGTCACGTGTTCATTCAATAATGTCAAATTACAAGCAAATGTAAAAGCAATTATCCAGAAGAAAATAAGGTAGCTGAAACATAAATATTTGTTTAATACCATGAATTTTTAATGATGTATTCTCAATTCTTTTGGATTAGGGCTGTATTTCAGGACAGATCTGCAGACCTGCTGCTACACTCTGTCTATCTGGCCTGCTAACTGCTCACATTGGAGGAGGTGGGAAGTTTTTTAGCATCTCTCTGTAGGGAAATGGTGTGACAGAAGGATGCATGCTTGGATCTTTCCTGAGAGAAACCGAGGTTCACCCAAATTATCACCAGTTGAGCAATTTTTTCCCGGGAACCATAATACAGATGTATCTGTAATGACATCCTCAATTATGAATGCAAACAGACTTCTTTTTACATTGAAAGACTTGGAAACTTCCAGAGGACGTCTTTGTTTTGGATTTGAATGTTTGTAGCTAGAAGTCTGTAAGAGGTAATAGTTCCCTTCTTTCCTAATCAGTTTTGTTCAAGAGTAATAAACATAGATTTTCTAAATTAAGAAGTAAATATTTGAAAACCAGAAAAGATATTTTATCCAGTTTCTTTAAATTCTTCCTCAATGGAAAGCTAACCTGTAAGCTGGTACAACTGCATTTCACCTGTACAACATCTCCAGGCTATTTATTTGTAAATAGGAAACTTCCAGAAGTTGACTTTAATGTAAATATTTTTAGTATTTTTTTCATTCTTTTTGCAAGAAGACATACAGAGTTTGTTTGCTGTAATATAAAGTATTACAGTGGCATGGAAGTAAATGAAAATAGTATTATAATGATCTAATGAATCTTATACCCTGTTAAAACAGCTTTTGGAGAGTATTGGGGTTTGTCTTTATTTTGATATCTTGGGTTTTTTTTTCCTTTACCAGTGTCTGTGAGTGAACCTCTGATGCCTGCACTATGTAGATACTACCTTACTGTTTTAATATCACATATAAAATTCTATTTCTGCTGGTAAAATTGAAAGAATTTTCAGGATGAGGGCACTTGCATCCTCATATTAGTTTGAACTGAGACATTAATAAGTGAACCCTATAAATAGCATGAGAAGCAAAAATGTTAAAAAAAAAATGTTAAAGATTTAGCTGAACCAAGTAAGAATATGGTTTCTCAGTTAATCTCCAGAGAACAGCTCTTTCATTTAATTTTGGAATATTCAGATGAATTTTAAGTTGTCTGTAACTATATCTCCACAAAATGCATCCTACTCATTGACGCTAATGGAATCATTTGGAAGTCTGAGAATTTTAGGTTTATCTGATAATTTTATAAACTTAGTTTGACTTGGGGTTTGTGCTTGCATTAGAAGTTGTACAGCTACTAAAAATAAATGTGTAATCTTGTGATAGGAAATCTTCAGCAATTTAGGAGATTCAGATAAACTGTGCACTACTCTCAGCTCATTGGAACCCCAGTGAATCTTCCCAGGCTGGAAAGCCCTATAAAAATGTGAGAAAGCTAAAAACTAGTGATAGTGAAAGCATAGAATATGGAGGAAAGCTTGCAGTCAGTTCTGCTGCTGACTTACTAAATGACCTTGGGTAAGTCTTCAGAAGCTCAGATGAAAGTGAATAAAAATTATTTATCCTTCATTGTCACTTTTTTTCTTTTGCAAACAAATGGAAACCAGTGTTTTCACCAGGGAATTTCCATAAATATACCCCAAACTGCTACCTTGGTGGTAGGACAGAGAAACTCAGTGCATACTTACTTTTAGGGGCTGAAAATCTCAAACTGATGTCTACTATAAGGTTTTAGGCAACTGCTCCTCAGTACTCAAAAGGCCTCTGAGGCTGACTGCCATTGTATTGCTGCTGATAGCAGGGTATGAGTGATTAGGAGAACCATCATTGTGCTACATATATTTATTTAAGTTTTAGTTGCAATTTAAGCAAGGAATTTTTAAAAAAAACCTAACAAACAGACCACAAAACAAAACAAAACAAAACATAAGTGGATTTTTTTAACATCATAGTGTAGATTCAATTTAGGATTCACTTTGAGATTTATGCCTATGCCTGCAAATCCTTAGGCTACAAGAACCACTGTATGTCTCTCCTGGATAAAACAAGCTAAAATGGAAAAGGGACATAATGCTAGTCTTTTTTCAAAGACCTTTATATTGTCATATATATTTATTGCCATATTTGATAATGAAGAAATTAAATAGATAATGCAGATCAAGTAATTGATTTCTGAAAACTATTTAGTTTTAAGGTTTATATTTTATTAGAAACCAGAAAAAAAGTCAGAGTAGAAGCAAGAAATAAACAGCAGGATATGAATCTGGTAGACTTTTAATGACAGAAAGAAATTTCAGAATTATGTCTATTTTGCATAAATAATAAATGCACCAAAACTGTGTGTTCTAAACCCACTAACTGTATCCTGTGAAATTTATAAGCAACTCTTATTTCTACAGCTCGAGAAAATCTCTAGCACAAATACAAAAGTCTTGTTTATATAATTTCATGAGGTGATGCAATTAAGGTGAAGTGTACTTAGTATAAAGATTACAAATATGCTTCTCTGTGTACATGACACTTTTAAAGGACTGTAACAAGATGGCTAAGTAGCAGACACAGCACCTCTTTGTCTGCATTGCAGTAGTAATTGGCTTAAGAAGCAGACAACAGTAGCGAACATTTGTTTGAGCTCCTCGGAAAATGTCTTCAGCCTTGGCAAATGTGTTTGCTCCACAATTCATTTTGCAGGTATTAAGCTCAGTCCCATTTGCCTACCAAACCATCATCTCCTTAAGCAGATTATGGTTTATTGCTCCAAACACCAGCATCTGAAGGGGAAGGGATATTTCCATGACGTCACCCCAGTAGGTGGTGACATTTTGAATGCTTGATGACATTTCTTCTTGTAAATAGACAAGGGAAGTCAGTAGGTGCAGCATTACTTTACCTTTTGTAAAATGTCACTGCGCTGAGGAAAGCAAAAGGACTCCTGTATATTATTTTATTGTTTCTGGGAAACAGTAGGAAATTACACCAAAAAGTTCATAGAATCCTATGTAATTCTAACACTGTTTGGTGGGGTTGCTGTAAAGAAATATCATTGAACTTCAATGGCATGCATTG